GTGTAAAAATTGTGACCAGCTCTAACTGGCAATAGTGTTCTCACAGCTCTCTCTTAGTTTGTACTTTACTAACCCCTAGATACTATGAAGTAGTTCCTGCTACCCTTTGGCAACAAACTCTCAATTACCATCACTAGTGTTTTCTCATAGGAATTTCACCACAGTGAGATTCTCCAGTACATCTCTCTCCGATTACAGTACTGAAGTCTATATAAGGTGTAGTCAACCCAACCTGGCGAACAAACAGCAAATCACCATGATGAACCAACTGCAGGAACCAGAGAGCAATAGAAACCAGTTATAAACTCAAATCCTTTCTGAGCCATTCAGCTGAAGCAGCAGGTGTCTAACATTTATCTTTGATGCTGAAGGAGGGCAAAGACACAGTATTTCCTTCAAGGACCTTCTCTTGGCTACTGTTATCCCTCACTTTCTCAAAATCAAAAGGAAACAGCATTTACCAAACCTAAGCTAGGCTTTGCTGACCATGGCCAGGCAGCAACCATAACAGGTCCAAAGAGATTTCAGTATGACTTGTTGCATAATCTCTTCAACAACCAACATTTCTCTAAAAGACACCTTTTTCTCATTCTTTTCAGGAACATTTTGCTGACAGGCAGAAAGTCAATTTAAGGCCTGTGTCTCATAGAAGTCTCGCTCCTGCCATCAGGATGAACATTAGTATGTAGAGTTCACTATGATAAACACTTTGGTACTCCCACACCTCTATGATTAAGTCATTACCCAAGTGTTTTGCAACCGTGATAAGAATTAAAGTATTTAAAAAAAAAAAAAACCAAAACAAAATTAAAGGTGCATTATCTGATAGGGTAAGGCAATGTGTTGCTTTCTGTTTTTAAAAGCAACGTTCAGGCAATGATTAAAATAAGTGACAATAAAACCATCACATTCACAAAATACTAGTGTTAGCCTTGGGGATATGCTTAAGGATTGGGCTGTAACCAAGGCAACCCAATCTTCTGGAGAAAGTTTAAGTAGACAGTTTTAAAGCCACGGTTCAAAGCTACAGTAAATCTGGCTGTAGGGCTACTTTTGACATATGGAAAGTGCCACAGCCACCCGACACGAAGCACTGATCTTGCAATAACTCATCCTCCTGTCGTCCAAATGTTATGTTGGATCAGCCAGCAGGTGCCCTCTTGCAGTTGGCATAAGGGCGACACAGGAGCCATTCATGTGTTCTGGGTAATTTGAACAGAAATTTGACTATGCCCACATCCTATCTATGTCTGGGTGATACAGGATCAGTCTGGTATTAATGACTGTAGTCCCATAGCTTATGTCACACCATGCAATAGCTTTAAGACTGTGCTTAAACAAACTCCAGGGTCTTACATATTTTGCTAAGTTAGAACCTGATCCTGGACCCTCCCGGGCCCTCTCTGGCCACACAAATCATGGGATCAGGCCCTACTTGCAAATAAATGCTAGATAAAGCCAAAGCAGCACAAGCAAAAACTGCAAACTTGAACAGAAATGTCTGTGTGATCTTCCAATTCTTTCTGAAAGGAACAGTTTAGACAACACTACAGCCACAGATGACGTGACTTTTTATCACGGCTAACAAGTCCACCTTAAAAAAAAGTAAGGTCTCTTTGGCAAAAAGACTCCTTCTTTGGAACAGATAAAACAGGCTATATTATAAATATGTGACAAAGATTGTGATGAAGCAATATCCCAGTGGTTCTTAATTGCAGTGCAATTGAGATAAGTTCACCAACATTTGCTAATTAAATCCCAAAGCATCAGAGGGGAGATTTCCATACACATGCGGGTGATGAGAGCCTCTGTGATGTATATACGTTTATGCAGTATCTTCCAAATATATTTATAGCCATTTTAGAAGCCAAAACCACATGCATTACAGAAAATAAAGAAGAGTGATTTGGGCACTCACTCCCCGCAACAGGCAGATGGCTTTGGTGTTCCAGGGGTGAAAACAAAAGCATGACAGTACCTTTGCTCAGATGTGTCAGGTCTAGAAATTAGCCACAGAACCTCAAATATCAACACTGCTCAATCTTTGTCAAACATTGTCCATCCATGGAGTATTTAATGCTTGGAAAGTTTGGCTCTCACCTCTCTGCATGCCAGCCCAACTCACCACAGCACCCTAGCATCCCAGAGGATTCAGATCTAGATCTCCTGGCTGCCCCGTAGCTTTGAAATGGGCCTAAATCCCAAACCTACATACCAGCAAAATTTTCTGGAAAGAGATGACAGAACTCCAAAAATCACTAGTTTGGGCCAATCTGTGATTAGTTTAATTCCCATAACGTTCCTGGGAAGTTGGAAAGAAGCCCTCTCGTGCAGAGGGGAAGAAGACAAGAAGCCATATGACTAGTTCCAAGTCCAGCTATGGCAGGGCCATAAAAAGCCTGGAGGCTCCAGACTTTGCTCCTCCTTAGTCCAGGCCACATTCTGCATGAAGGCACAACAGCTCATTTCCATCAATTATCCCAGTGTTATTGTGGAGAGTCTCATTAGCCACTGGATTTAACATTAACAAGAATAAGGAAGATCAGAGTTATGTTTGCTGCCTCCTGAATGGCTTATTCTGCACCTGAGTGCGTTATGTCCTTCCCTGTGCTTGCAGAGATGTAAAATCCTGCACAGGGATATAATGGTGTTAGCAATCCCAGCTCTGACCTTGCTCGTTTTCACAGCGTTAGCTCAAAATGGTTTTGCTCAATGGTTGCGAGGTGTTTTTGACTAGTGGCAGTGCAGACTGCAAGAAGCGAGCTCAAAGTACCTTACGTGCCATAGTTCAGGGAACAGGAGCCCAGATGGAACCTGGCAGGAGTCATGGTGAAAAAAAATCTGTTTATGTCTGAGTCGGTAAAATTCTTGAAGGCCATGGTAGAAATCTAGTATAAAAAGGCAAACTGCTTCGGCACAGTCACTGTGGTGGAGAAGGATTTCTTTTGCTTAATGATGCCACTCTTCTACAAAGAAGGATTCATTCTGAGCTGTGAATTTTGGGAAACTTCCCTGACACTGATGGAGTTTGCCAACATATAAACCATGTAAGGAACAGAGGTTTCAGACTGGTATTTCTCTATTTGAGTTTACTGTATACAGTTAAAGCTATTAAATTTCACAGTACTCTTCCACAAAGGTTAGTGCTAAACTGAAAGGAAATGCATCATTTGCAGGAGCTGCAGCGAGTATCTCAATTTTTCCTCGTTGTTTCCTATCAGTCTAGCTCATCTAACTTTTCAGCATTAGTGGGTATAGTTATACCAGGCTTCTGTTAAAGAGAATAAAGATGAAAGCACTACATTCGTATTGTTTTTCAGTGGGTGCATGAAAACTCTTGAAAAGTGCCAGTTTGTCACTTATATGGTCAATCAGCCTGCAACTGTTTCAGTTCTGCTTCTTAATTTAAGTGCAAAGAAAGGTATTTTCTTTGATTACATCTGCAAATAAGATATTAATGTCAATTCAGTGATATGAAAATTACTCCCTCACTATGTAATTTGCACCTTAGTTATTATGGGTTTCATGAACAAGAATATTATAGCTGCTTAGAGTGCTGTGGATTTCTAATTTTTAAGTTGGTTTTTTTTTTTTTTTTTGTAATTAACGAACTAAAAAAAACCCAACACACCAACATGAGAAAAAAAGATTATCTGTGCCCAGCTTTTATTTACCTTGGCACATGCATTAATTCTGGATCAAAGATGAAAATGCTGCTGCTGGCCCAGCACCCTTCTGCAATGACAGTTCAACAGAGAGAAATTATAAGAGGCTGGGATGAAAATGAAAAAAAAAAAAAGAAGTGTACATTGTGGAATGGCATAGAGAAGGGTTTAATAGCTTCTTTAGCTTAAGATAAAATCTGAACAACAGCATGTATTTAGTAGGATCCTTTTTGCTGTTCAAATAAGATCCTTAATTTTTTAAATGAGAACTCCAGATCATGTGTGTTAACATCCAAAAAAAAAATGTATATCCCAAGGCTTGATTCAATCCCTGTTAACAGTTGAAGGAACATCCTACCACTGCAATTAACAGAAGATGGAACAAGACTCTAGTGCTTAAACGTCTACCCAGAAACCAACGCTGCCAGTGGTCCCACTAGAATGGGGTGTGTGAGAGAGTGGCGTAAGATTTTTTTGAGCATCGCTTCGCACTGCAGTTCTATGTAGTTTTATTTTTTAACCACTGGGATTTAAAAAATGTGTTTCCAGCCCCACATCCTTAGAAGACCTTCTCAATGGACATGACCGGCTTATACCTCTGGTAAATCAAAAGCACATTGTGTGTGTGTGTAGTGTATAGTGTGTGCAAGCTCACATCTTTCTGTGATTGCTCATACACTGTGAATTGGAAGCATCGCTACTGAATAAATTTATGCAATAGCAAAATATAATTTCATAAGAAAAAGAAAAAAACCCTATAACTGGAAGGGAATGGAGACAAGTAAGGGCCTAAGAAAAAAGATGTAATAACAAATCTGTGTCCCAAGGATACAAGGTCACACCTACACTCTTAGGTGCAGTACAGTTGAAGCTGCACTGTTGTGTTGTGATGAGAGTAGTGCTGGGTCTGCTCTCACACATTCTAAGGCAGTGGACCTAGTTCTGCTGGTGATCCGGATCGTACTGAAGTCAAAGGGAAGCTCCCCATGACTTCAGTGAGAGTTGGTCAGGTTCGCAGAATAACCTGGGCGAAAGAACTATCTCGACCACCTTTCACCATCTACATTCATGTACTTAAAAAAGACAGGAATCAAACAGAAATGGTTACGATCATGTTCAGACCTCCTTCTACAGGCAGCTAACTTAGGTTCTGTGACCACTCATCTCCATCAGCTGCAGAGATCAGGTGGTCTGACTCACTGCCCTCCTGAAAGTCATGTCTAAATTAGGTGCCTGTCATGGGCAGTCTGAACACAGACCCTTGAATTGCCCTCTTGTTCCAAGGCCTTCCAGTTTTACTTTTTTTTTTTTTTTTTTTTTTTTTTTTTTCTAGGCTGGAAAGAAATCATGCAAAGCTTGTGCAATATCCACCAACAGGCATCTTGGGGAGGGTCACAGTCGATACTCAGAGATCAGTGCTGGCCTTGGCAGTCAGAGCCTGGATCCGAGCAGAGTTGCAGGTCTTGCAAAGGATGTGCCCATCCAGAGGGTAACAGCCCTGATTGTCCCCTTCAGACAGGAGGCCACCACAGTCCTAGGAAATAACCAAACAAAGAGCAAAGTAAGTAAGAAAGAAGAACAAGATTAAGTGAAGAATCTATTAATCAAAGAAACTCTCTCCTCACTCTCCACCTTGTAACAGGATCCAGCCTGAGTCAGCGTAAAGCATGAAGCTGAGGTACGTGATGTCTTTCACGATTAAGCCATTTCCTGATAAGGGACAATGCTGCAGAGAAGATGGGTTCCCAAGCTCTCTGCTGAATTTAATCCAATTGAAAATAAAAGGAGATTATTCCCTTCCCTTCACATTTCTGAGGAAGGAAAGGTCTTTAGCATTGGAAAAAACATCAAACAAGCATATATTTATTAATGCAAAAAATGATAAAAAAGAAGCATCACTTGGGAAGGAAGTTTGGTACCAATATCTGATTACAGGTAATCTCCTCTGGAAGAGTTAATGCCACAGAGCTATCGCAGCCATTCCAGGGGTGACAGCTAAGGAAACTCCCTGCTGTCTACCCTTACCAGAATTGTCACTTTTGTTTGTACTGCAATTGGTCCAAAAGATTCTGGCTGAAAGGAGGTCACTGACAGACACATGGAAACCCCAATAAAAGGCACAAAACCTGCTTTAGAGACCTCAGCCTCTAAATATATAAATCCAAGTATAGCTGCTAGGAAAGTTGGGAACTATTCCTCACTGTGATCAAGCAATCACTTGGCCCAAGACTGCTGATGGGGCTGCAGTGAGGGGATTACAGTTCGCTTAGAGGCCATGCCTCTTCAGCATTAATCTGTGTTTCCAAATATACCTGGCAAGCAAGTGGTGGAAAGCAGATTATCATTGTTGTTCCTTTTGAGATAGCTGAGGTACACGGAGATCAAGGTCAGGTGAGTGTCTGTGTCCTGTGCGACCGCACCTACTTCTGACATTCATGCGTGTGAAGACTTAAGTATCTCAGTGGCCAGCATGGGGACATGCTGCATGACGAATTAGGCTCTACAAAATTTAGTGTAGGAATGCCCCAGCAACTTTAGAAACTGGGCCTAAATAATGGGCTGATATGTACCCTGGAAGCCAAGGTCAGATTGAGAAGTGAACCAGATGCCTCAAGTTTCAGCCTAGACCTTTAAGCCTTAGTCCATCCTTCTTTCTGGTTAAAGTTACTAAAGCCTGCAACTGCAATAAGAAATACATTTGGTCTCATTTTCTTACCCTGCCATCTGGCTGATGTATTATCCAACAAGTAACACTTCCACTGAAGAATTCTTTAAGGTTCCTTAACACAGCTGTTCCCACATGTTAATTGCTTTAAGGTGATTTTTATTCTCTGTCTTCAGATTCTTACCATCAAAATTATATGAAGTGCATAATGAAACTGAACAGGAAAATAGCACGAAAAGCATTGCACAAAACAAGAATGATCATGTTTATGTGTCCATTAAAATTCTTCAACCCAGAGCCATATGCTGAGTTTCCTGTACAATCTTGCTCAAATTCTAACATGCATTAGCTTTCATTTTAAGAACATAAACATGAGCAACGTTTCTGTCCAAGCTCTAATTTATGAAGTTCTCAAATATTAAGCCCTAATTATCTGAGTCACATTCTCTTGCTCTCCTAATGAACCTGTTATAAACAAGGGACCTGATTTTCTTCTCATTTGCACTGATATAAATGAGAAAAATTCCTCGCATGCTGCAGTCAAAGTGATTTGATTGTAGAGCCAGTGTTACAATAGGGTATGCCTGTCGTGTGTGTAACACGAGGCATTGATGAAATTAAGCCAACCTTTGCTTTCCGTCCTTCACGTCATTAGAATACTAACCTCACATCGGTAGCACTGGACATGGAAGTCACGATCCAAGGCAACAATGCGTACAGTCTCCTCTTGTCCTGGGGCCGGCATGATGGGCTCCTTACACACTGAACATCTTGGTGCAAATTTCCTGAAGAAAGAAGAGAAGGTCCCAGTCATCCCCAAACACAGAGCGAAAGTTTTTGTGAAATGCGCCAGGAAGCCAGTAACGTGTGCATTTGTACAAACACACACGTATGTACACATACAGCTTTGCTCAGCTGCCTCCTTGAAAACAAGAAAGAAGGAGCACTTTAATATCCTGCAAGCCTGAAAGACTAAAGAGCATTTTGAAGACTACTAGGAGAGGACTTCATGAGTATCTGACAGGCAGCAAAACATATTCTGCTTGCCCTAATTAACAACTAAAGTGCCTGTTGAATGACCCACTATCATGACACCTATGCACTGCTGCAACCCTCAGGCTGAACCACCAGCCTAACTCTAAGAAAGTCCATGAAAATTCTGAAGTGAGAAACATAACCAGGATTTGCTTTAAGAGCATCTCCTTAAAAAAAAAAAAAAAATCAAAATATTAAAATTTGGAGATTGGAACAAGTAGGTAAAAAGTCTTAATAGAGATGGTAAACAGATTTGCCTTACCCTGCACTAACTTTTTGAAGTTTATCCCATCCTTTATAAACTTCTGAGCCATCTTACCCACTTAAGCACCCAGGAGCACACTCCAAGCTGCTTCTTCTCAAACAAAAAGCATCAGGGCAATTCTGACTAGCTGCATTTTCTTGCTAAAACCAACTTTCAGTAATCTGTTAGTGGGTTGCCCAGGCTTAAAAGGGAACACCTGTCTGGGTGCGGAGACACCAACCAATGCTCTCTTCCACAGTCGGCCTGAGTCAGTGTTGTATAATAACAATCACTGTGTGAAGGGATTAGCTTGAAGCAGGGTCAGCTCAGGGATCAAGAGAAGCACAGACTTTTCCTTTTCCCCTTATATGGCCCATCATAGGCCCTTCTGGCTAATTCACATGTTTTTTATTAGCTCTGGTTTTGCTTTCCGCAGTTGCCCATGAGAAGCTGACATGCCTACTCCTAGGCAGGTGGGGATGCTTGAGAACATTTAGCCTGTAGTGAATCATTATTTGCTGTTCTGGTTCAAAACCTATGGGTACCAATTCCCTGCCTGCAAATTCTGCTCACAAAAAACAAAATTACACCTACAGAATCTGCTGCCATGTAATGAGAGCTGGAGTCATGGGCTATGGGGTGACAGAGGGCAATGCTTATGGCAAACATCAGAACACAAGAAGATCAAAGGCCCTTCTCTTCTGAAATGCCTAGGAAAGATTGACTCTGCCACCCAGTCTGTCAGATGAACCACCTCAGAATTAACTAGTTTAGGAAAAAAAAAATAAATCTATCTGTACTAGGAATAAAGAAAAATATTAATTTCAGTGGCAGCAGATGAAAGATGTCTGTGTAGCTACGATCTAACGAAAAAATGAATTAAACAGTGGCTGTAGCGAGCACTCTGAAAAATAACTTAAATGGATCATGATATGACCGGAGCTGTAATCGCAGTTAATTATATGCTGCTTCATGCAGGCGCTTCCTTGTGCCATTTAACTCAAATGTGGTGCTTAAAAATACTTCAACATTTCTTTGTCCAGGCCACTGTGGGTAATTCATTATGAGCCACATATTAACTCCCAGGGATGACTCCTACAGACTTCAGGGGATGTGGGTGTGCTACTGTGGGGCCTAAGCTCAGAGGTACCTAAATGACAGCGTGAGCATCAGCTACAGTTCTGTTATCAAGACAATGTACAAGATGTAGAGCGCTTGACCTCCAGACCGAGAGGACACGCCATCCCTAATCAATTAAAACTGGGACAGCCGAAGTGCTGCTAAATGCACAGTTGGCTGAAGACATTCTGAGTGTCACATTAGGTTTCGTGCTGTCCCTGTCATCTTCCTCTCAATCTTTCACTCAACAGTTTTGTGTCCTTTCCTTGGATTGATATTCTCCCACCTTCTGCTCTCAGACCCCTGAGGTCCACATCCAGTTACTGCCAAAAGACTCTGACATGGGACATCAGTTCTTGCTCCCAACCTTTCTCCTGAAGGCATGCGAGTCCTTGGCCTGTTGGGTTTGGGGAAGTAGCCGTCTCCAAATCATAAGTGGATGTGAGGGAAACCTTTCAGGAACCTGAGTGATGTGTAAGCCTTCTGCTGGGCCTGTGCTCAGGACCATATTTTACCTTACGCACAACTGCTGGCACAGGAAAGCAAGGCAACACAGCAGCTGCCAATTAACCCGGCCTATCTGAGCTACAGGGAACATCCTCATGTTGGATTTTAACATGCCAGTTGATCGTGGCTGCTTCCCTTTCTGTCAAGTCAGCCTGCTTCTTTGAGCTTTCAGGCCCACGCACTGATGTCATGAGAAGCTCTAATTAAGTCTACCCCCTTAGAAATTAAGAGATAAATGGTTGAGATGTAAACTCACATTTGTCAGTATCGATTTCTCTTTTAATTGAGGGGTGTAATGTGTCTGTCTTTTCCATACAGGGGAAACATTTGTGCTCTGATTATATCTACCTGTCTTCCTTAGATTAGTTGTGATGATGGGGGTGGTAGCGTGGCAGTGACAGAAACTACTTGCAACTATACCTTTCAACTTACTTTAAATAGCAGTTTCACTATAAATTATTACCAGGGCTGTATTTGTAGCAGCTTAAAAAAAGCTAATTAGCAACTAGAAACAAAAGGAGCTGTGAGCATCCTGTGGCCACCTAGATCCCTCTAGCCAGTAAGCAAACACCTGCCGAGTGCAACAGCACAGGACCTCTCTTAATTGCTTGGTGGAAGAGGAGAGGAGACGCTGATGTGGAAGTGTGGGTACAGGCAGTGAGGAGAAACATGCACGTGCTGAGTGCAGGGGAAGGCAGGCAAGATGCAGAGCATTTGAAATGGAGGAACACAGAGGTCATCCATAAATTCAGGTCTAAGCAAAACAGAGATCAAGCAGCATCAGCCCCTACCCAATTAATCTCATATTCCATGGTATGCCTGCTTGGAGTAAAAGCTCTGCCTACTGTTTAAGAGGCTTGGGAGGAAGTGGCAGAGGGTTCAGATCTTTTCAGACACTCAGACCAAAAAAGGAGGATTTTTAGGGACAAACAAAATACAAGAAGCAAAGCCACTGACAGCAGCTTAGGCCTTACTTATGGAAATCCTCGATGCAGTGGATGTTCCCGCCGGCATCCACAGTGAAGGGGATCCCATCCAGGCTGCGATGGCACATGACGCAGGTGAAGCAGTGGGGATGGTAGGCCTTCCCGGTGGCTCGGAGGATCCTTTCCATGATGGGCTTTGCACAGACGCTGCATTGCTCCAGTGTGTTCTGCAAACAGAACATACACAACAGATGTGAGCACCATCCTGGCAGGACATCTACAGAGGTCAGCTGTATTGGAGGCTGCTGCTGGTCTCCTTGGAAGCTTTAGGTACTTTCTTTTCATTTTTTCTAGAAAAGTGCAGTACAATCAACAAAGAGTATGATAACAGCACAGGGCCTGGGTCAAGCCTTTAGTATAGTGTGAGAACACAAACCAGAGCCTTCCATCAGCAGCTCTGATAAACGGTAAGAGATGGCCCATCAGGTGAGTGTATCTCAGACACTGCAGCTTCTGTAGCCAAGAGCACGTGAAGGAGTTATGCAGCCTGCACTCCTTGGTTTTCACCTCCAGACTGCCCAGTCTGAATGACCTTTTGCAGCTCAGCTGATTAGAGACAACCTCCACAGCGTGCAACACAAAGCTGAAGCACAAACTCCTGGGGCTACACAGAGCCCCCCTAACTGATCTGCCAATACAGCTCCCATAGGAAAATCTGCCTTGTAGGAAAATCTTTATCTTTTTCTCCCACCACAGAGACTACTGTTGAGTCTGGGGACAGAACAAAGCAGTGTCTGCAGTGAAAGCATTGCAAGGAGAGGAGTTCAGGATGACTTAAGCTGTTCATTTACCTCTGGCCCATGATGTTTGAGATAATGACTGTGAAGAGCCAGCTCTAAGGCCATGATCCTTGCTGCACAGGTTTTACATACTGGCCTGCTCCTGAAGTGCTGGAGCCAAAAAAACCTTTCAAGTAGGGTCCATTGAATGATTCCTTTCAACCCTCACTCACCCTTGCAGTTAATTATAGAAACACCAAGATAATTTTGCTTCAGATGGTTGTCTGTGAGCCACACCAGCCCTTCTGACACCAACTGTGCAACTCACCCTTTCAATCAAGCACCTTAAAGGCACATTCCATGAATGGAGGGTGCAACCCACATAGATGCAAACAATAAATCTGTGGCAATAATTTGGGTCATTCACTGGACTTTAGGAAAGCAAACTTCACCTACTACATTTGCTTGATGCAAGTGGAGTTATTAACCAGTGTTATCAACCAGTGTTTGATCTTGGATGAGCTAGAAAGTCTATGATTACAATACTGATTATGATTAAGATAGACAGAAATAAGGAGGGGGGAAAAAAGGAAAGGAAAACATCTAATGGGACAGAAATATAAAAAGCTGCTGGAAGGCAGATCATGTTGACAAACACAGGAAGGCTAAAGTTCTTCTGCTTCCTCATGCAACAAAATTCCCAGGGAAAGTAGTGCTTTGACTGACCGCATTGTTATTGCTTCTTTGAGCCAGTATTCTCAGGGGCAAGATCCAGCCCTTACATGTGCAGCCAAAATGTATTGTCAGGAGATGAATCACCCAGGAGCTCAGAGAGGTTACTTCTACACTCACATATTTGCTATCGGACATTATCTCTGGACTGCAAATCACTGGTAAGATACAAACGTAGAAACACACGGGTTCATATCAGAAGAGCAAAAGGATTGTTTCTGGAAAGGTTGATATGAAAAGTCCTGAATTTCAACCCATCTGAGAACTGCCTCACACTTTGTAAAGAGAGCACAGCCAGGCTAGCGTTGGTTTCAGATAGGATTTTGCTTTATGCCTTGTAATAATGGGCAGGAAAGAATTATTGCTGGCCTTTCTGTCTGGTTGCTGTCACCATCATCATCATTATAACAGTAGCTGGTATGCCAGAAAAAGCAAGGTCAATAATTTTCCCCTTGGAGAAATAACCTGGCAAATTTACCATTTTGCTTTGCATAAACAGATCACATCATCTCAGTCCGTATCCCTGCTGTTCTCTACATTGCCAAGGATGGAATGCAGCACACCTGCAGATGCTGATGGAGGATTGGGCCACTCGCAAGGCATTTGCTATGACACCTGAAGATGTGCAGGTATCGCCTCACCAAGTCACTGCTTGCTTCATTTCCAACAGTTGCCAAAACCAGAGGCCAAAGTATGAGAACAGGGCAAGCAAAACACAGCAATTCCTTAGGCTATGCTTCCAGCCTCCAGCAATTTCTGGCTTAGGAACTTCCTGAGCCAGAGCTTGGCTTCACCATACTTAGCCTCAAGTGGATGTTTCTCCCATGAACTTTCCTGATCACTTTTTGAATTCTGATCAATACTGAGCAGCCGCAACATGGCCCCGAGTTTCAGGACTTACCTACACATTGGGGGATGATCTGCTAAGCAGTTCCCCATGTCTGCTACCACAGCCTATGTAAGAGCACTCCAACACGAGCACAGCCTACCTGGTACCATGAACAGAGCAGAAACCTACCTGCAGCTGCAATCCACCCTGCGAAGGGATTTAACACCCAACAGCATGTCCTGGAACTGCTCTCATCACAGCTCTGATACAACTCCTACTCACAGGTTTCAGACACATGGAGTTTAAGACCACAAGGGATCATTACAACCATCTTGTCTGACATCTTGCATTAACACTGACTTTGGTAGGAGTTTTGCAGTGACCAGGACAGCAGGTAATCACGCTTCTGGATTATGCCTTCAGAAAACACACATCTTCTGCTCCCGAATCTCAGCTCAGTCACACCCTTTCACATTCTCACAGCTAAGACAGACAAGTGTTTTAAATTAACCAACTCCTGATTAAGCCTTCTATACGACCTGAAAAATCAGACCTGAGAAATTTATTCTTTTCATCATTCCAAGTCTGTACCAGTGAGGAAAAACAAAGTCATTAGTTTCAGACTCCAGCTCACTCCCTGTCTGGGAGTATATTTGCTTAAGCCTCTTTCCTTGCTAGAACTCTGGCTCAGACCCTTCTCTTCAAGGTGTTACCAGAAGATGCCAAAGGGAAAGCTTCCTTGAATCACACCCATTTGACATCAGGTTGCTGTAAGGCAGGATTTGGCCTGTGGAGCTAACAGGGTTTTCTTTGATTCTCTAATCAGGTTATCCCACATGCCTAAGAACTGTCCCAGCAGCTAACAACCTGCACAAAGGTATCTCTGCACATTATGGGAATAGCATCCCTGGAGGATTGTAAGTTTGGCTTCTTGATTTTGCTCTCTTTCACAGTTTAGCTAACTTTCCTAGCACCACCTGGAGCTTTCAGACCTTCAGAAAGTCAAACAAGATGAAGAAAAAAAACCTAACAGCCCTATTTTTCATCTTTTCTTCCAAGCTGCCACTGTCAGCCCTATCTGTAATCAACAGGTAGAGCTGAGTGCATCTGATGAGCTACACAGAGGGCCAAAGCAAGGCACAGAGAAGAAAGATAAGAACCAGCTATGAAACATCAGACCTAGGGGCTGTGGTCAAATCCATGTCATAAGAATATGGACCATAAATACAGCAAGGGCTGAGGGGAAAGTTTACCATCCTTTTCCCAGATTTTTTGCTAAGAGGCAGGGAGTACCTTTCTTTTTTAAGAGACATTTGTGTCTCCAAATCCAACTAATTTTTTTGTGTTGGAAAAGGATGGAGAAGGAACCATCCATTTCTAAATGGAAGGTTGGCCAAATGTTAAAGGCTGAGTCTCTGGGTCCACTTGAGGGCAGAACTGCTTATCCATGGCAAAGAAAAAGAATATCACCTGGGGAGAATAACACACCCTAACATACCAGTAAGAAAAATAATCCTAAGCAAAGCTACACTAAAACACAAGCAAAGAACTGAAATGACCAGGACATCAAGCATCAGATTGCAAGTAAAAACTAAGAGAGTTAAACATGGACAGCACATCATCAGCAAAGTGGGAACAAGCTGCTTGGGAACAAGTATCTGATAGCAAGTGGTGGTGGAAGTTGTCTGAGAGCCTCCCTGTAGCAATATTTGGCCCTTCAGAAACCACAGAAAGCCAAAGGAAGTTGCTCTGCAGATGTTAGATTTAAACAAGAGACATAAAGTGAAAATCCAGACTGCTGGGAAAGACTTCTGGGGTGCAAGAGCCACTGAAGACATTGAAAGCTGGCAAACAGCCTGTGGGCTGCAGCTCATCCCGCTTTCCTAATGCTGTAGATTATAACCCCTCATAACCGAATTCTGGGTGACAGCAGTAACTCACAATATAGTGCAGCACAAGGACCCTCCCACAATGACCTAGCAATGAATGCAGAAGAAAAACCACACAGAGATTAGTCATTACTTCTTCTGTACTGGCAATTCATCCAGAGCGCTAATGAACATAAATAATCTCTCCCGCACTCTGAACAGCAGACCAAGAAGAGCTCACACATGGGGACATGACCATTGGTATAGCTTGTTTTGCTGGGAGAGGGGAGGGAATAAATTACATTGGCAGCTCGTGCACAGGGACATGAACTCACTTTCTGTGAGCACTGCAGAAGAAACACATTTTTGGGAGTGACTGCACAGAGGAGATGGTATTAGCTGCAGGAATCAAAAGTGACTGTTGTGCTAAAAACAGGCACATGGTCAACTACCGTAGTTGAACTGTAACTTAGTAAAGTGTGGTAAGTGAATTGCTTTAAATCTTGTGACTCTGTCCTTCATTTCCTCAGACTGTGAAGAGAGCAGAGCAGGAGACATTTTCCCCACTGTGGGATAATTTTTGAGGCTTGAAAACGTTTCCATACTTAAGTGAAGACAGAACACTTTAATCTCAAAAAGTCTGGTGAGTTTATAAACCCCAAATTAGATCAGGCCAATTGAAACACTGCACTTTTTCAAATGGTTTCATTTAAGTTTTGGGTCTGCAAATATATAGTTGGGATTATAAATTAAATATAAAGCAGACATGAGTGGAGGGGTTAAGTGTCAAGATGCAATTTCAACACTTTCAAAACCTTTTTTTTGGCATTATTTGCAGAAAAGTAAAATCCAAGACTCAATTTCCCCCCCTGCAAAATCCACAGCCATCCCCAGTTGCAATCTCCACAGATGGGTAGATCTTGACAAACACAACATTTAATTCACTAATTAACATGAACATGAAATTCCTTCCTCCATATTTGAGGAGAGAATTTGGGCATGTGTGAGCTAATCATTCT